AAAGAACCAGATACAAGCCGTCCAAGAAAAATTTCCACCTAAGGAAGTCGTGGTCACAACCGAAAACCAGTCGAAAACGCGTTAATTCGATTTTCAGAGCAATCCAAATGCGAATCGACCCGCCGAAATGAGGAAGTGATTTTAAGGACGACCTCAAAGTCTGGGAGGAGCAAATCTGACGCAACCATCGAAAAAGAATACCTTGTTGGAGTCGTTCAGCAGATGGAAAGGCACGAAGTCATCTAGCCTTTCCAGGATAACCGTCCAGAACTCGGATTCGGTGCGGAACATCACACTTGCGAGGAATTTGCATCGAAACAGCAACAGTAATCTCCATAGGAACTCGCGGTCAATAATTCAATAACAACCACACAGCTCTGAAACCAGCCGAACACCGTTGGTTGTCGTCAGTCATAGTCGTGGTCGACCAACCGACCATCCGACACCGAAGACTGCTTCAAAGTCAGGTGGTGGTGCAGTGTGTGAGGCTACGCAGCTTAAGCTAGCCACGCCCGCCTTTACGTAACGAGGCCAACGACAAAGGCAAAACTGTTTCAGCAGTTAATCATACGCGAAGAGGCAGACAACAGGTGACAACACCAGCAATCAAATGCGTCAATCGATACAGGGGGCGCAAAAAAAACGCACTTCACGTCCGAAGGTTTGAACGAGACAAGAGACAACGGCCAGCGATGGAGCGTAGCTGACAGATGACCTTACGCTGCAGCACCGCTTCCGTTTAAATACGAGTCTAAAACGTCCAGGGCCAAACTCCTTTTCCAAAGCTTACGAGACCTTTAACAACTACTCGTCTTTGGACCAACTGAGCCGATGCTAACGTAACCACGTATCAGTTACATGCAGTGGCAGTAGACAGCCTACCCTATCGTTAAAGAATCAGTACCTGACCGATAGTTCGTCAAATATGTCTCGAGATGGCATGCGCTCACTAATCAGCGATAAACATGTTTCGTAGGTCTGAGAAACTTTACTCTATTAAAATTATTACTTAATTACTTGAAATTTAATTCGAAGAACCTATTTTGATAATAAGACTAAATTGTACCCAATTACACGCTTTTAGCATAAGTCTCAATTGATTGTTTTTAACTGAAAAAAACAGAGCGCGTCGTTTATGTCGTCGGTCAAAAATTATGAC